TTATTCTCCCCTTAAAGATTTTCTTATTGCCAATTACTAAATATACCTTCAAGCGTTATTTAAGTAAGATTGACGAAAGTATGCATTTCTGAGTGTATGTCAAGTTAAATTACACCGAAGTATCCAGTTGTGAAATACATTTAGCAATATGCTAATATTTAAAGTATGTTAAAATACATGTTTTAGGAAAGCTGCTACTATAAATATCATTTTCAAATAACACAATAACACAGATATTGAACTGGAAAGAACAGACAATTAAACTAAATACCAGTACTTTAATTTTTAATGTTGTTTCATTATTTCGACTTTTATTTTCTCAATGAATTAGACTTAAAATGCATATGTATATCTTATGAAATTTCGATTTGATTAAACTATCAATTACTTAGATATTTCCGTTTGAGATAAAACAAAATTCACAATAATAGAAATAAAAGAATTTCATAACAGTAAAAAAGAACTGAGACGAAAAAAATGTTTTGTTTGTGCATTTTTTCTTGACTTTGAAATGATATACTTCAGACTTTCTATTTAAAAAAAAACTACGTTTGTGCAAACATATGCATATGATTTTAATATTTCAAAGATTTTAACGGAAAATTTAATAATAGACTCAATATCATAATCGTTATGATTCTATTTCCATGTTTCCTAATATACGATATGCAAATAAACCAGTTTTAGTTCGGCCGAGCATCTTTTTACTTTTATTTTAGAATGACAAGAACAATCCTTTTCATTTTATTATAAAATGGCCAACAGGATTCTCCAATTTCAGTTTGTAATTTTAAAATGACCAATAAAAATTCTTCTTATATTGAGTTCTTCGCTGTAAATTTAACAGGAAGTCGAACTGATTTTAGACGGCCTTTAGCCGAAACATCATTAATTATTCAAAAATGAAAATTTTAAAGGGCAGACAATGAGGCAAACACTGAATGTTTACGGGCTGGATGCGTAGTTATGTATGTTTGAATATTGTATTTATTATGATTTACCTTTTGAACTTTGTGGAGTTTGGTTAGGCGTTTCACCTAAACTGCTTTTTGGTTTATTTTGATGGTCATTCTCCTTAAGCAAATCTTTTCGTTATTAAGATCTTTTTGTTATTAAAGCTTATTACATAACTTAAATTTAATACCACTTTTTAGCAAAGTTTTAAGAGACATTTTTCTTTCTTTCACAGCAGAAATAAAATTGAACACAATCATAGCTAAGTATAACTTATTTTAACTTTTACCCGTGCACCCACCATTTTAACATGGATGAGTATAATCTTTTTAAAATGCTGTTTTAATAGAAAAATGTCATGCTTTTGTTATGCCTGTTTCCTTGGCCCCTTTCCTTTTTGGGGAAAAAGGTCATTTGGAATAATTTTTAATTAAAAAGTTTATAGCCTTTACTTAATTTTGGCAGCGTTCAAATAATAATAAATGGAATACGTCCTTTAAATTTTCATGTCAAATTTGCGGTTTATCTTTAAAATTAAGACCTTTTTAAGACTTTGGGGCATAGCAAGTTGATTTACCGTTTATTAATTTATTAGTTTAACTTTTAAAAGTTTTTTGATCCTATTGTTAGCAACGCAATTGATTGGCAGAAATGCGTTATTTACGTGCAAACGTTAAATTGACTAGCTGGTGTAGAAGAAATTTTCCGGAGTTTTATCGACGTAGAAATCATTAAAATAATTATAATAATTGTACCAACATATATAAAATATTCAAAATTTAATGCTCCGGAGAACTAATATGCGAGTTGTACGAGGTTGCCTCAATTTGGTAAGTATACATTAATGGCAGCAATTTTCAGAGGAAATGTTTGATTAAACCGTAACCATGCACACATTGAACTTAAGTTTAAAAGTCCTTTGACGTCAAATATAGCAGTGATAGTAAAAGTCAACATATTTTCTAACCAACTCTCCTATTGATTAATAGTTTAATTTTTATTTTATTGCTAACAGTTATTTACAACATGTATTAAGAATGGAGATGACAAGAGTACATTATAAATTAAACTTTCGGTAAAACAATCGGAAAAGCTTCTGGCTTAAACATAACTTCACATTTTTTATATAAAATTGGTTAAAAAAACATTAATCACTATCTATAAAAATGATTCGTAGCAATTTAAAAATGACAAAAATATTACTCTGTAAGCTTGAGCATTTGAGTACACTTTGTACATTTTGGGGAGGCTCATGAACAAAAGATTTGTCATCGCCAAACAAAAGATGCAACTGCTAAAATCACTTAGATGTTTTAAATTATACAGCTTTAGTAAAAAATACATATGTTCCCTCCTACAAGAATGCTCAGTTTGATGCACCACTCCTTTCGGGCTTTTCTCGTCTACGGTTAGTATCTTCTTCTCTCTTGTCCCTAGTTTTATTTCTTTAATTTTGCAACCATACCCCCTTCCCCGAATCTCCTATCACTTTCGCCTGCACCGTTTAACTTAGAGCGCCAATTAATCATTGATTTGTTTTCCTTGATTTTGATTTCCTTGTCCGTTGCTATTATTTCTTCTTATGTATCATTTTAGTGATAAGCTTGTCCGTGTTCTATCTTGCGCCCTATCCTGTTTTTGTTTTGATATTCCTGGAGTCCTTGTCGCTATTTCTAGTTGCTGGGTCGTGTGAGTGTTGCATTTATTGAATGCCGCCTTTCCTTGTAAATCTTGTTTATCATATTTTACTAGTATTTTATCAAATCCGTGTCACTTTATGTTAGTATGAGGCGTCATTCCGCTTCACTAATTCAAATATTCGTTGCAATGGATTGTTTTATGTTACTTCAACATTCTGAAATACAAAGATCTTACATGCTTGTATCGATTACATGGATTATATGATGTATTTTAATCAAACTTTAATAACGTGCAATAAGTTAATTTGTCGGTATTTTTTCTAAAACTATTTTAAACACTGTGAAATATTTCTCATTATTACCTGATACCTTATATAAATGTAATTTGTTATTATTTACTGTTTTTTGAAATTCTAAAAACGTCAACGTTCGCAAAATGTTGACCGGTCAATAGTTTCGACTGTTTCCCTCGCGTGCTCTGAAGTCATCCACGTCATAGAGGATTCCCACTTGAAGCGTCTATGGATCTTAATCATAAACCAGACTTGACGTGACATAGTTAAAATATTAAGTGTAATTATTAACATGTGTGCAAAACCATTTTCTTGTTCCTTTTTTCTTCTGCAAGTACTGTTAAAACAGTAGTTGATCAGGTACTAAAACAGTTATTTCATGCGTGATTTTGGGAACAGTCAAACAGTTGTCCCTCTGTGTCGGGGATCTCAGGCCCCTCCACCTCGGGCCAACAGTTTGACTGTTCCCAAATCACATATGAAAGAACTGTATACTATTTATAACATTTGTGAATGCTTTTAAGTTAATATATATCTATATTAAATTTGGACAGGTTTCTGTATTTTACAGTTTAGTTTTTTCTTTTTTAAAAAAAATTCACATTAAATAAACCATCCCTTGTAAACTTACTAATTTATTTTCATAAAAGAATGATGTTACTGATTTGCAGCAAAATATTTCTGAAACGCATGCTCTTTTGTGCTACAAATGTCAAATTATGTATGCAATAATATTTTCTTTTAATGCATGTGTCGCGATTATCTCTACATTGCATATTGCTTAATTATTATTGATTTTGAAGCAAAAAATACAAAAGTGGTAACATGTTGTTCATTCAAGTTAATTTAAGATATTTATAAAAAAACAAAATTGAAAACATAACACAATACAGAATATTCTATCTTAGTTTTTATTTCTTTATTGGTAACGATATTTGGAAGACTTAAAAACCCGGAGAAAATGATGAAACTAGAAGATTTCTGATAAGTTCAGGAATATGCATAAACGTGATAAAAGTGAAGGTACGGGTCACGTTAAATTAACCTGAACAAAGTTCGTTTTCTTTTATGTAAGTTATCAAGTTAAATTGGTCATATCGTCACCCTAGGGCAATAACTGATCAACTGCTATTACTTTTAGAAGGACTTATTCCGTAATTCCCTTAAGATGGGAATATTATGTAGTCTTAAGTAATTTAAAACTTCATATAGTAATATAAGCTGAATTATGTTGAAGCCGATATCAGTAGTCGTAAAAGATGTTGCTCATTTTATTGTCTTCTGTTAACATTTATCAATTCGATTTTCCATTGCTCTTCTTTTATATATTGTATATCGTTTACATGTTTATATATTGTTTTACTGATATACAAAATTGACATATTCAGTGTGAATAGTTATATTTCTATCGCAATGGATTAAATAGAAATGGCGTATATAAAATATCTTTACATATGTGGCACCTTTAAAATACTTGAATTTTTGAAGTATAACAAAGAAAGATACAAAATAATAATGCGAGCAGAGTACAATTGATGTAAACAAAATATCATTTCAAACAAGAGAACATAAAAAATATTTGAAAACACAGCCCTCACTTTTTTAATAAATCAATATTGAAACCTAGTATCGCATGTACCGAAATGTATTTTTAATTTAGTTTCAACCTTTTTATTGTAGCTCGATTGCGAAACAAGTTCTTGCAACTGATATTAATAACTTTCGAGTTCGCTTGCTGGACTGCTAATCCAATTACCAATGCTTGATTAGATATTTGTAAGTGGCCTAAGAGTGTTTTCCAGGTATGTGCTATAATATAAATCAATAACAAAAACAAATACCGACGATGTGAATACAAATATAAACATATTAGTATTGCTTTTCAATATAACAATTAAGGGAGAAATATCCGGTGTTTATCACTTAAATCAATGATAACATCAGATACAAGCAGAATCCACTCTTAAATTTCTCACGGTAATGTTTGTTACAAATAACCTTATATCTGTTACAGTAGGAACAATTTAGCAATAAACGAAATCGAAAGACTTGGATTTATATATATTAGAATCTTCTTTAATCTTATTTTATTGTTATCATTATTATTATAAATATTAGAATAATGAAAAGAAGTTACACTGATAAAGCTATATTTTACACGATTATTATAAAAATTATCGGGACATCGCTTGGGCAGACATACACTGAAATGGACTCTTTACTAGGACATTTATTCAATGCTTCAAGATATAACAAATTTGTTAGACCTCTCCACAACCAGACTCATGTTATCAAGGTATGTTTACGCTTTACTCTTTATTTGATGATGAGAATTCCGAATCTTACTGGGATTTCTATCATTTTAGATAAACACAATATCTTTTTATATTAAATTTAACCTCGAATCAGATTATTTGAACTTTCGATTTCAATACAATTCTTGAATGGGGTTCAAGAAACTCTTAGCAGTCTGAAAATTATCTATGGTAAATTAGTATAACGGTACGCTTAACTTTGGTTTTCATTATGTATTCTTTGTGTTTTTTTCCTTAACTTATTGAGAGCTATATGTCATCATTAAATATGTTGTTTTTTTCAGGTAAATTTTACTCATATTATAAAAAGCATTGAAGAATTCGACATCGCATCTGGAGAGCTGCTTATCACAAGCTGTTTTGAAATCAAATGGATAGATGAGATGCTTCTTTGGGACCCGGCTTTGTACAGAGGTAAATCAAAGATCCCTTTACCCAAAGGAATGTACTGGAAACCAGAGTTTTATTTAACAAATGGACCAGCAAATGAAGACTCTTCGATTTACGGCAGCGGATTTGCACCTGCATGGGCAACGTATAAAGGATTGGTAAAGGTAATTCCAGCAGGAAGTTATCAGACGAAATGTAATATTGACACTACATCATATCCTTATGATATTCATACTTGTATTTTTCGATTTGTTGTGTCGAACCACGACTCTTCAGATCTGATACTCAATTCTCCAAAACCGGCTGTTTATCTAAGTGGTTTAAAAGAACATGGTGAATGGGAAATTAAAACCTTTAATGCACAGATATTGCATGTAAAAGAAAATCACATAGAAGATGTAACATTTCCAATGTTTCAAACATCATTGTATTTGAAAAGAAGACCAACCTTTGAAATCATTACTGCATTCGCTCCTTTAACGCTTATGTCTTGTCTAAATATGGCAACTTGTTTTATACGACCTGACTCTGGTGAAAGGTTATCATTTGCAATAACATTATACTTATCATTGGTCTTAACTGCAACAGCAGTAACTGAAACGATTCCAAAAAATTCTCTGAAAATGCCCTACTTTTCGTACCAAGTTCTAATGATCAATTGTATCAATACAGTTGGAGTCTTATGGAGTATATTTGTTGTACATTTTGCAAATAAATCAAGGATGCCACATTGTCTTCCAAGATTTCTTGTGAAATTGGTCATGAAACGGAGACAGAAAAATGCAAATTTTAAAATTGAAAGAGAAAAGTCTAGATTATCAATGACGTCATTTGAACACGCAGATAATAATGAAACAGATATCAAAGCAGAAAATGCAGAAAAATGTTCTTACATGAAAGGGCAAGAAGTGGCAGAGGCTCTTGATGTAATCTATTTCTGGGTTGTCATGCTTTGTTTAATGGTATTAAATGCTATATTTGGAATACTTCTTTTCAGAAATGTGTAGCTCATGATAATTTTAGATTGAAATCTTACGATTATACGATATGCTATTGCTTTTACTGTGTATAATTTAAAAGTAATTGCATAATACATGTATAACATAGGGATTCATTTAATATAAGTTTGCATCCTACCTTTTGGAAACTCATTTTTGCAGGTACTTTAAAACTGACTGTAACATATTTTATATGAATGAATTTAATTTAAACTTAATTCTTCTACTGTATGTTTGTTTTGATAATGCTATTAATATTTTTTATGTTAATGATATATATTTTAGTGACCTATCAAGGACTATTTAACAGAATTATAAAGTAACGTTTTATCGTAGTAAAAAAAGGAGAAAGTAAAAATATTATTTTCACAAGTCGGGATCACTAGGGATCACTTTTTTCGGATCAATTTTTTCCAGATACTTTGTATTTGCACTGTCATTAATGATTATGACATACTAATTATGTAATGTATTCATGTATTTTTGTTTCTGTATTTATAGGAAGATATTTAAATACTTAGGAAACTGTATTAGACGTACCTATGTATCAAACGTATAACTGTCTTAAACATACAACAATTCCGACATTATGAAATTTTGATGAAGTAAAAATCTTATACCTTTCAACCAAAATATATTTATCATACAATCTATGAATATGTCATCGTACATCAATTTCAATCAGTCTGGAAGAGAATCTTTGACAAGATATGCATACCGCGGTCTTAACAATAAAAGATGATAGATACACCGAAACAAACATTTTCTTTAATGTAAAGTAGTGTACTTGGCAAGATGTACTTATTTATTTATCATTTTCGATTCCATTTGTCAACATTTTAAGACATTTTATGTCAAATAATCAAATCATTCTCATTTGTGTTAAATGAATATGACAAACATACATTATATCTGATATGAATGATGTAATTGAGTTAGAAGATAAAACCTGTCCGTGGACAGCGCGCTCAACTTTTCTGTGTTAGATAATGAATAAAGGCAACATAGGAAAGAGGGCGTAATTCCGAAAATATGATCAGCAGAAAACTTTTTCAAATTTAAAGTGAATGCCAATGACGGGCAGATATATTCTATGTAAAAAGGGACATAATTAGGAATCAAGAAAAAAAAAAAAGACTTCAGCATTACTTAAAATGGATATCAATTTTCATAGTGAGCAGGCATTCCAAGTTTCAATTGATTTTTTTTACACTTTTTGAAAAATGTATCATTAAAAAAGTTAACCAAGAATTTCTTAGCCAAAAAGGTAGCATATATGAGAAAAGAATTATAAAATTTTAATTTTAGAAGAAGAAGAAGAGTAAAAAATGGTAAAAACTTTGCTAAAATTATTTAAGGATTATGTGCTCTTTTGCAATGGTTTCATGTTTTGATGATGAGCATGTAAATCATGTTCAAACAAAATAAACCTTAATATAAAGACTCACCAGGGATAATAATCTAAGTTTAAAAATGGGCATACCTTTGAACAAAAAAGTAAGAAAAGTATTTGCTTTAAGAAATGGCGCCCTTTTACAACAATAAAGATTTATACAAAGTTTGAAGTCAATAGCTTTAAAGTGTCTGAGAAAATGGACTTTAACCAATGCCGACGGGAGGGTTATAACAATAGATCCATTTTATTTATTGACTTAAAGCAGTCTTATCATGTTTACGGCATTATTATGGAACCTATGTCTTTGATTTCAAATGGAAATGTTATAACTTAATCTTAAATAATTATATAAGTCATATTAGCAGGGAAAAATAAGAGAAATTGATTCTATAATTCAATATAAAAAAAAATATTGTTCAATTGTAATTTGGCTGAATAGATTACGAGTCTCTTCTTCTCATATAGTTTCCTCTCTATTCTGCTTTAGGTGTTTAGTGCTATAAACTTGTCTGGCAACATTTTGACTTTCTTGAAATTAGGTCGGTTCTCTTTTTGTCACATTGGACTGGAGACCATCCGGATGGGATTAAATTGTAAAACTAGGAGGCATTCCACCCAATACACGGAATCTCACTTCAAATAACCATCCGTATTATCGTTATCACATCATTTGAGTATGCTAAAGAAACAAATACAATTATAAATAAGTATTTGCCTAATTTTCCTTAAAAGTTAAGTTTTAATATCATGGTGTATAAATCATTTAAATGTGTAATCTTTATGTTGTTAAAAATAATTCTTTGTGTATTGTATGCTTTTTCACGCGTTTCCCTTTGTTAAATTGTAATGATTTTTTACACTATAAGTAGATAAAACAAAACATAGTTATAAAAAGCATAAGCATTGACGTCAATACATAAAGCTTATACGGATATATTATTTCTAGAGAATCTTTTCTGTATAAAAGTTCAAAGCAAGAAATATATACAACATATATACTGATATCAATAACAAATTAGATAACTATGTTAACACTTGCAAAACGGCACCATCGTCAGCCCAAATATATAACAAAGGTGCAACATTTGAGCTCGATTTTTATCAAGCTGGTTATGATTATATATTTGGTATAAAAACTTTCGCTTTATTTACAATAGATTCTTTCAGTTTATATAACATAAATTTAACAATACTTTGAAAATTAATAATCGTATCGTCACGCAAATTGTAATTAGAAAAAAAAACGCTTCATATTAAAGATTTTATTCAAAAATTGAATACGATTTTTAATTAAATGAATAGAATAATTGATATACTGAATGACTTTGAAAATGCACATCATATGTTTATTTTAATAAGCCTAAACTTAACAACTTAAATGTGCATTTATGCTTAAAAATGTAATATAATACTTTCTCGTTTTAAGTACTATTTATCTATTGTGTGTTTTTTTCTTAAGTATATTAACTTGAATATGTTGCTGCCGACCATAATTTGAAATTTGCACGGATACATGTGTTTTACTTAATCAAGAAATAACTTTTCATGGTGCAAAGACAATTTACTTACAATAATGAAATTCTATAGAGGGCAACCTAACAGCCTTCTCTGACTTGTGTTTGTTAATTTTCATTGCTTTTTTGTTAGTATTTTAAGTCGCACTGACGCTGTTACAGTCTTATAACGGCTTGTCAGCTTTACTGGTGGAGGAATGCCTCGCATTGAAGTCTAAGAACAAGATAGGTCTGTAAATAGTCTAATCGTAGGATGACTCAGTCGAAACTGAATTGCAAACGCAAAAAGGGCAACTTCAACGGATTATGATGTTCTGAAACATCATGTATGGTTTTTAAATCTGACAGCTGAGTTAAGTTGAAGAATCGTTTGTACAAAATTATTATGCTTTCTAAGTTTTTAAAGTGAATTGTGAAGGTTGTTTTCACAAACAAAAACAATCACAAAAATGCAGGAAGGCAACAAACGATTTAAGATATGAAAACAATAGAAAATCATGCATTAGCGCTGACCTACTTCTGACTCCGGCAAAACGATGTTATACAAACAAGCGATAAAATTAAAGAAATTATAGTTCGCTTGTGGAATTCGTTAAATACCCTACAATATAAATATTTGTATCATGGAACTAAAACACCCGGCCAATGGGTCTATAGGTCACTGTCGAATTGCATGTAGTACCTTTATACAGCAATAATAAAATCAACTTCAACTTTAAATGAACTTTGTATGTAAAACATATACATCTTATATATTTTGAATTAAAGTTAAAGTCACTTATAGGCCCACTGGGCCGGGTACCTATAAAATGTATGTATAAATTGTTGAAAATAACTTGTAAATGTACAATGTGACTATAATTAACCAATTTCTTATCTTATCTTATCTTATCTTACCTTATACACTGTTTTCTTTATCACGCAAGAATTCATATTTAAATGAACAAAAGTTGATGATACACATATATTACATAGTTTTTTTTTTCTTTGGAATTTTCTTTGAGGATATAAAGCTTTGCCTAAATATAATCACTTTCACAATGTATTTTTCTTTTGTTTTTTTTACGAGGGAGATTTTTCTATACATGTAATGTGTAGTGTATCACGGCACAAAAACACTTGCAAGATTCGTTGATGTAGATATGCCTGAATAGTTCTATTCAATACCTTTCTAAGAGATTAAACACGAGCCCTCAACTAAATACAGTCTCAAAGTTATCGCAATTTTTATAAAGCTAGTCGTTAACAGCTGCTGTTAAAAGGTTCAAATTTTGAACAGTACTGTAATGAATCGCCTTTTATTTCATCGGGTTTCCAGAACTATGTGCGCAATAAGATTGGTCACTGTCATTTAAGTAAACCAGTTCAATACTTTACAAAATATATGAAGATATAAATTAATTAACTAATTAAATAAATAAATAAAAACAGCAACAAAACCTTTCGAGTCCAACATGTTCTACAAAAAAAGTTGACACGGGGATTGGGAAGAATTACTTTTATTTTATGCTTTTCAGTGGATTACTGATTTATCCGTGAAAATTATATTTGATAATTTCACAGTGAAAATTATCAAAATATAATTTCACTTTTTTCAATGACGAAACTACTTTTTTAAGATTTTCCCCATGTGGTACCTCAATTTTATTTTTACTGACAATTCTGACAATGTCAGGCTGTAAAAAGAAATAACAAAGCTGAAATAGATAAATAACTTAAATGTCAAAAGTAATAAAGAGAGAAAACTTACTTCTATTTATTCAAATTCCAACCACCAAATTTCGTCTGTAAATTTTTTTGTTTCGTTTTTACAGTCTGAAAAATACATTCCTTCCCCATGCAAAACTGCTCTTGATGACATTTGGGCATATTAAAGTATCCTACGAGCAATAACTGCTGTATGCTTTATGAAAAATTGAAAAGCATTGACAGCCATCACTCGTAGAATAAATAAAACAACCCAGCGTTCCTTTGCAAGCTTCCAAGTTTTCCATTTTCCTAGCTCCTTTTCTGAATGTTTCACATCTGTCATCACTTATTTTTTGTCTGTTACAATCCTCAAATAAGTTTTCTTTCTTTTAAAAAGGTGTATGACTAAC